TGTTCAAATGCCTGAGTCTACAGAGGACATTTCTCATTCAAACTACCACACTCTACTCCTTGTTCACTATAGGTTTGTGGCCATATCATAATACAAAATCTGTTTGATCTAACTTTACAAGTCCTCACAGTCTTTCACGGTCTCAACACTGTTTAATGATCCAAAGTCTCTTCTGAGACTCAATCTTTTAATTGTAACCTCCTATAAAATAAATAAGCAAGTTACATACTTCCAACATATAATGGCATAGAATATGCATTACCATTCCAATAGGTAAGAATGGGGACATAGTAAAGAAATTCTGGTCCAAAGCAAGACCAGAGCCCAGTTAGGATGAAGTCCTGTAGCTCTGTGGCCTTCACCAAAGGGCTTAGATGGCTCCACCCTTCCAGCTTTTCTCCCTGCAACACACAGCTCTCTTCTGGGCTGATTCCATTTCCTGTACACAGCTCTCACAGAGTGATATCCTATTGCTCTGACATCTCCAACATCTTTGCTCTCCAACGCAATCCAGGCTTCACTTTCACAGCTTCATACAATGGCCTCTGAGGGCCTCTTTCCCTCTCAAGCAGGGACTCTCCTGCCATACTGTCTGGCCTCAGCAGCTCTCTGAAACTACAGAGGAATAATCCATGGCCTCTTTACTCTTTCATCCTTTATGCCTGTAAAGCCAACTCCATGTGGACAACACTGCCAAGCATGGCTCCAGTAGGGGATAGACCCTGATCCCCATGAATCACATCAGTATCAACATTTTTGTCCAGTTCCTTTCTGGGAAAAGAAAATCGCTTATGCCCCTTCACAAATTGGAAGCTTAGCTGGGTGGGGTCTTTTCCAGAGGACACCATTCACTTAACTCCAGTGCAGAGCAGATCTCTCCTTAACTGTGATGTTCTCCTTAATAACCACAGTCTCTCTTCTAGCATACACCTCGGCTGTGACATTGAATATCCTTGTGCTCCTTTTCCCTCAAAACCGTGCATTTTGTATTTCATTTTGGCCCGCTTGCTCTTTTTCACTGTAAACTTGCATAGGGGTTTTCAATAATTACCATACCACAGCTCCAACATCATGCACTCCAGAAATTTCCTCTGCCAATGAAATTAGTCCTTTGCTTTTTAATTTAGCTCCAGGCAGGTTCTCAGGATACAAAGAGAAGGCAGCCAGAACTTTTTGGCTAACATATCATACAAGTGGTCTCTAGCCCAGCTACTGTTAAGATCTTCACTTTCTTCTGAAACCTCTGGAGCTAAGCCTCTACAGTTCACATTGCTTTCAGCACTGCTGTCTTTAGGACTCCTACTGGAACAGTGGAAGCTCTGCTTACCACATTCAGTGGCTTGTCTAGTCTAAAGTACCAAAGTATTCCACATTCTTCCAAACAGCAGCATGCTCAGGTTCTCCACAGCAGCAGCCCATTCTCTGGGACCAATTTCTGCATTAGTTATTCTGTAGTAGTTACTTTTCTGTGGCTGCGATTAAAAAACACCATTACCAAAAGCAATTTATAGATGAAAGAGTTTATTTGACTTATGGTTCCAGAGGGATAGGAGTCCATCATGTCAGGGAAGCATGGCAGCAAAGAGCAAGCATGGCAGCTAGCGCAGGAAACTGAGAGCTCACATCTTCGAACACAAGCATGAAGCAGAGAAAGTGGTCTCAAAGTGGATCAAGGCTTTTAATCTCAAAGCCTAGCCCAATGACATACTTCTTAAGCTAGAAACCTTTGAGTTATCCTTAACTTATCCCTTTTTTATCCCACCTCCCCTCTAATCCATTATTTCTGTCTATTTACTAAACTTAATCACTGTATCTACTTCCACCACCAAGTAGTCAGTCTCCCATCTGTACCATGAAAACTGGATTACGTCTCCAGATAAGGATACCTTGACTTCTTCCCATCCCATTTGTATCCTTTTAATTTCTTTTTCTTGTCTTACTGCTTTAGCTAAGACTTCAAGCACTATATTAAAAAGAAGTAGAAAAAGTAGAGATCCTTGTCTTATTCCTGATTTTAGTAGAAATATTTTGACTTTTTCCCACCTAGCATAACGTTGCTTATAGGCCTGTTGCATGTAGCATTTATTTTGTTGAGATATGTTCTGGAGACCCTACTCTCCAGGGCTTTTATTAAGAAGAGGTGTTAGATTGTGTTGAAGGCCTTTTCTGGATCTACTGAGGTGATCATGTAATATCTGTCCATGAGTCAATTCATATGATGAACTATATTTATTGATTTACATATGCTGAGCCATTCCTGCCTCCCTGGGATAAAGCTAACTTAATAGTGATGGATGATTTTTTTGATGTGTTCTTGAGTTTGGTTTGTAGCTATCATTTTCTTGCAGTTATTTTTAAAGTGTACACTCTAAGTATTGAGAGGTAGTTCATGAGTAGAGTACATATCCACCATGCCCTGGAGCCTGAGCTTAATATGCACCACTATAAAACAAACAAATGAAGACAACATTCTATATTTGTGGAATAATAATCACAAATGCCCCTTTTATAGTACACAAAGTTCAAAAAGTATTTGAAGGGGATAAATCAGTAAGTGGAAGAAAGTTTACCCTTCATAGATCACCAAACTACAATATTTCTATTTCTTCACATTTTTTTAGCAAGAATAAATGACTTTAACATCAATAATTGTCTTAGTAGTCGTATGTATTTGACATTGCTTAGGCTGTGTCGCTTCTTAGAGAGTTATGGAATTTTACTTATTCCAGTTATCTAACACTTTAACACACAGTGTAAGACTTCAACTCTTCCAAGGTATTAAATACAACTGCTATATATCCTACACATTTTCCTTACTTATTGTCTATGGCAAGAATATAGCCTCTATAAATATGGGACATTTAAAGGCTTAACCATATTCTTATTGTCCTGGATGCTAAATATTTGTTAAAGGCAAGCTATTGTTTTGTACATATTTCATTTTGTTCATCGTCACAGTTAAGTCTAGTCATAAAATCAGGCTCCAGCATTCAGCTGGGTTTCAAAGTTAAGTCCAACACCCACAGTTGGAGGCTCCCTCCATTCCCTCGGCTTCCACACAAATTTTTACCAACACCTTTCACTTTCTCGTTGTTTCCTAGTCAAGGGATGATTTTAATATCTCTGTGTCTCAACACACAATTAAGAAGGACAGCAGCACCGTTTTCAGTTTTCGAGACAGCCTGCAAAGTGAAAACAAGGAGCCTCTGACTCAAAGTGTGAAGGATTCAGGATGGAAACTGCAGAGCACTAAATGACACAGAGGACTGCAGCGCTCGGTTGCCCATGACACAAGCCTGTAGACAAGGATTGGTTAGAGAAATACATGACATCAGGGGTTGCTTTCATGCTTCCGCATGCCCCATGATGGCTGTAAATTACAAAAGCTTGAAGATTTTAAGGACGAATACCGTTTTAGTCATAAACCACATAGCCACATATTTAGACCCTAGAAGACCTTTAATTACATGAATGTTCATCAGGTTATAATTATTTATTGCCACATTACCCACTCAAATTATTTTAATAATTCAGGATTAAAACTCTCACTGGTGTGATCTTACCTCATGGAGTTTATTTATCATATAAATAAGTACCATTTAAATAGGGAAAATCAGGTAAAGATGCTCATTCATTCAACAAAAGCTTATTAAAAATTTATATATGCCAAGTACAGTGCTTGGCTCTTTAAGAAAGCAAGCATTATAAGAAAACAGGCTAATTTGCTTTTTAAAATATTAACTATTTTAAAGCCAATTAGGCAAATGATCTATTTGTTGAGTAACCAATTTGTCAAACGAATAGAATGACTGTAGAAATATTTGTCTGCTTTTAACAGGATTTTTTAAAATTTGGGATACCAATTATTATACATAATATATATATAAAGTATATAAAATATAAAATGAATCAGTAATAATGTGATATCACATATTCATATACATCATGCACATATGTAGCAATATACATGCAAACATGTATTTATGCACATACACACATAGTTATATACACACATGCAAATTTAACTTGTTTAAAAAGGCTAGAGTGAATGAAGGTGAGGCTCAGTAGAGAGGACAACTGTAATGGACCAGGTAATTAGTCTTCGTTAAGCAGAAACGCAAAATAGGACACAATAGGTCCAGAAAGATGTCTCAGAGAGTCCAGGCACTTATCACCAAGTCTAACGCTCTGAGTTTGACCCTTGGGTCTCACAAGATAGAAAGGAGGAACTGACAATTGCAAGTTGCCTTCTGATTGCCAAATACTGTGGCAGAGACACCGGTGCCCACACATGAATGTTCATGCAAATAAATAAATACATGTAGATTTTAAGATGTTAAAAAAATAGAATACGATTGAAGTAATCAATATTATATTTTAAATAGCGATATTGTATGCCACTTTTTAGGCGACAGCTGACATGTTGTCTAAAACGTTTTAGAAGAATTGTAAAAGCTGGCCTTAGTGATGGAGGCCTGTAATGCTAGCTACTCAAGAGACTGAAGCAGAAGCATCACATGTTTTGAAGGCCTACCTAGGCCACAAAGTGAGTTCTAGGTCAGCCTGGGCAACTTAGCAAGGCTTTCTCAGATTTAAAAACAAGCAAGCAAACAAATATCAGTTCTAAGGAAGTAGCTGAGTGGTAAACATTGACCTACCGTGTGCTGAGCCCTGGATTCATTCTCAATACTGACTTCCTCACCCCCGCCCACTGCAGCAGGGGTGTGTGTGGGGCGGGGAGAAATAAAAGAATATTAAAAACATTAAATATTAAGGATAAATAAATTGAGCAAAAATACATTGTTAATCACTCTGTTGATGTGCCCGGAATACAGTACTGTTTTCTTCTTCACTGTAAACTGTTAGCATCCTTGCTGCAGGAAAGCCTGCCTCATCCAATGATCCTTCATTAGAATTCAGAGCTTCAGTGTACAACAAGGACCAACTTTTTCAACCGCTTTTCTAATCTTTTATAATTTCTTCCAGCATCATTTTCAGAATTTTAATAACCAAACCATTTTAATATTCTTTCAGTATCACTTAACCTTGTCCTCAAATCCATTCTATTTTGTAAATTCAGAAGCATCTGAAGGAGGGGGATGTATTTCAGAGGTAAAGTGTTTCCATAACATGAAAGGGCTCCTGGGCTTAATTCCACAAAGGATAACATGAAAGTATCTGTAAAAAAAAAAAAAAATCCCATTTTAGGTAAACCTCTTAAAGTTTAATTCAGGTTAACTTTAATACCAAATCATCTAGAGAAACCGAAATAAACAATTGCATGAAAAAAAATCCCATATTAAGTTTTATTTTGGTTACTGTTGGTTTCCTGCTTGCTCTCTGCCTCTATAGAAGAGTGGGGTGCAGCATGAGCTGAACCTGGAGCAATGCTGATTTTCAGAAAGAGTGCGGGAGAGAGCTGTGAAGAGAAAGGTAAGACGGCTCAGGGAATGGGATTTCCCATGTCAGATGAGTGTGTGGAAGACCCCTGGTGTGCCTACACAGACTAATTGCTCTGAGTAGCTCCAGCAGTAATCTGAAGGTCAGTTTGCCAACAACTGTGAGATGTATGGAATGACCTGGATGATGAATGTTATTTTTGCAAGCTCAGCTTGATACTAAAAGTGCCTCAGCTCCTCAACAGCAAGGAATTTATCTTACTAATTGTGGAGTTGTCATTGGTAAATAATAAGACAAACACAAATTAAATTTGAATTTCAGATATGATATGAAAAATTTTAATACAGGTTATGTCCTAAACATTGCATTTCATCAGATATGCATATGCAGAGGAGGAGAAAGGGAGGGTTGCTATTATCTTGAATTCAAATTATACTTATTTATCTTTTGCAAAATTAAGCAGATGGCTGCTTCATCTGTCATGTGTCCCTCCAAATTCTACCTCTCCCCCATCCTTCAAGCAATCGGGAAAGAGCTTGGAACATGGATTGCCTCTTGGAGTAAATTAATACTGTGAGCAGTGGCCTTGGACAAGGAGTTTATTAAGTAGGAAGTAATTTTGAGAAGTGTAAAAACAAAATAGTCTGGGATTTTGCTATTTTTTTTTTAACAAGATAAAGGTCTAACTGGGTGTGGTGGCACAGGATTGTCACTCTATGCCTTTTGGGCTGAGACAGGAGGATCCAGAGTTTGAGGCTAGCTTGAGCTGTATAGTAAGATCTTGTCAGGAACATACACACATATTACACACATCCCGCTCAATATTCACATTGTTTTTAGTCTTTACATAATGAAAATTTTGCCGATTTCTAGGAAAAGTGGGCAAGAGGAAGAGGCACTCATTAGAAGGAGGTAAAATGGGTGTTTATAAAGCAATAAGCTGGGGAAGAAAGTTTTGAGAATGCACAAGACAATGGAGAGCTTGTCATGGAAGAAAAGTAATTCTTCCCAAAAGAGTGAAAAGTGGAAATGTGAACTGAGAATTTTAAATGATCTAGTTAGGAAAACTTTCAAAATTACAATTTTCAAAACTGGAAAGCATGTGGAAATGTAGATACCTAAATTTGAAATTATTTAAAAATTCTATGTTTTTTTTAATCACTGCTTTCATTTCACTTCACATAATTTCTTTGGTCAAACGAAATGAGACTAATTCTAGGCATCATGATGCTGGGACCCTAAACGCTTCAGCATGTAGATCTAAAACATGAACATCTCTCTCATGGAATGATACTGTTACTTTACTTATCCAAACACTTCCGCTATGCCTTAGCTCTCAGTCCAAAGTCAGCTCCCTTCAGCATCCTGTAAGAACAAGGTACCTTGAAAACTAGAATGTGTGGAGTAGAGGGAGGGGGTGGGCAGTCGAAGGATCATGAGGTTAGAATGTTAAGGACAGTGAAGATTCTGGAATTGCCCTGGGGAGCATTCAGTAGTTGTGAGAACCACAAAGCCCAGACGTGGGTACTGATGGCTCTCATTCTTCTGCTACCTGGCACCCTGACAGCAGTGGCTGTTACCCATCACCCCACCGCAAGCTCTCAGCAGAGAGCTACCTACTGAGGCTCTGGGTAGAATAAGCACACTGGCTCCAGGCACACCGCTAAGCGCTCGCTCCATCAGGTGCATATGCCGGAGCAAACTGCCCCAAGTCACTCTGCCTCAGTCTGCTATGACAGAGGGGCCAGTACCAGCAAGGAGGTTATCAATCGTGAGTTGTGTCTGCTCTGCCATAGACACGGTGTCTGGGAAACTTGGAGCTATCACTTAAGGTTTTTATCATTGTCAGCTGGAGGGATAGCACTATCCTGTGTGAAGGAAAAATGAGCGGGGTTTGTGTATTATGTGGTCTTATAATTAACGTATCTCGGACGATTAATGAGCAAGGTAGACAGGGAAATAAAAATATATAGCTCTAGAATTTAAAAGAAGGGAAACAAGGGTGGGGGAAATAAAGAGAAGTGTATGTGTGTGTGTGTGTGTGTGTGTGTGTGTGTGTGTGTGTGTGTGTGTGTGTGTGTCTATGAAGTCCCACAGGCACAGCAGGAAAGCTGGGGGCGGGGCGGGGCGGGCCTCTGTGGGCCAAGTTCTCCTTGGCTTCTGGGGCGAGTCCCGTGCGCAGGAGCAGCGTCCCGAGCCAAGTTTCAGCGCAGGAGGCTGCTGCGAGCCAGCGGCTGGTGCAGACTCTGCAGCACTGGCTTGCGATGGGACACCTGTGGCTCTCGGGGACCTGGTTTCTCTTGGGGCTGTTTCGATATGCAGCAGATTCCAGCACAGGTAAGCAGTCAGGACGGTGGGGGAGCCAATCCAGACATCAGGCTACGCGGGTCACAGAGGGGCTCTGGGACCACCTGCCATCTGCCCTGGGCAGAGGCACTCCTGGGAACCTGGGGTCCTGGGAGGAAGGCCTCACACGGGGCCTTCTGACATGGTACAGACAGTACTGGGAGAGACTGAAACAGAGGTACGGTCCAGAGAAAGACACCACCGGTAGGGCTAGCTCTAAAAAAAAAAGAAAGAAAGAAAGAAAGAAACGCTCTTACAAATGTTATCAGTGCTGGGGTTTGAACTAAGGAAGTTCTTCACCTCCCTTCAAAATGGCACAGTTGAAAAGAGACTAGAAAAGCTGATACGTGATGGGTGAGAGACAGTTAGTAGACACCACCTGAGTTCTCCCTCCCTTGGTCTTCTTAGGTCTCTTTCTCTACTGAAGGGAAGACTAGTCCCAGGAGGCAAGGAATGGGTTCTTGTGGCGGGTGTCAGTCAATTACAGGGTAAGCTGCCCAGCGTCTTCAAAGCAATCCCCAGGAGAGGGCTGGGGAGAAAGTGATAAGAAATTGGAGTTGAGTGCTGAGATAAGGAGAGGATGAACTTGAGATAGGCGGCAATGTCTGGAGATAGGATCCAGCTCCCCGCCGATCCTCTTTTGGCTCTCTAGGAGCAGGCACTGGAAGTAGGAACATATTGCAACACGTGGCAAACTCGAGATCTGTGCTAACCTGAAGCTCACAGGCCTTGGGTCTGGGCACCGGTGCCTCCTTTATACTGACAAGCTATGGAGGCCACAAATCAAGTCCATGCTACATGTTTACAGACTGCAATGAATAATGCAATCATAATTTCCTTAACATTTTTTTCAAACATCCATTCCAAGCCATAATTTCCGTGGCTGTTCTTTGTGTCTTAATATTTTCTACTTACTCCGATAAATTGTTTTTGCTTCTAGTTAAACTGCCACTCTAAGTAGAAAATAAAACACTTGTAGCCACTGCGCATTGTATTTCCGACTCATGTTAAAAAATTTCAAGCAGTTCTCCAGAGAAACTGCGAAGGTTTGCTCTGCTGGTCCAGCAACTCCTTCTATTTCTTCATGGTAGATCCAGGCTGACTAGTTCATATTTGTCGTTCACAATGCAGCAGAGGAAGCCCATTCTAGAAACTAGTGCGGTCCCAGAAGTATGAGTGAAATGTCTTTTCCAAGGACCCAGGACCCTATGCTCTTTCTATCATTTTGTACTAAACTAGACTTTGGGGGAGCCGGCACTAATGTCCACTTTTCTATCTGCAGGAAGCTAACCCAGTTTGAGGAGATCAGTGGTCTTCACACTAAGCCCTCAGCATCACTGAGTCGCGGGAAAGCTGTCAGGAGCTATCTGTCATTCCTAAAGTGACAGGAAACGCTTTCATCTTCAAACGCAGCATCTGTTTTTGTCCTTCCTTATCATGGCACTCTGTGCTCCGCAGCAGTCCATTTCTCCATGTATGACATACGATTAAGGGATTCCAAGTGTCTTATAATAGGGTAGATACGAATGTTGAAAATGGTTGTTAGTCTTCCTCTTTGTAAACCCAAGAAAGTTCTTTACACAAGGCCAGTGAGTGTTAGTAAGTTATTTTAAGTCCTTAAGTCCCTGTTTGGGCATCAGTCACCTTTGGTTCACATCTTAGAATATGAATGTGAAATATGGTGCTTGATGATGATTGATTCACTGCTACTGTCTTCGTGTGTCTTTCAGATGGCACAATTCCCAAAGTGACAGAAGTTGTACCTAAATACGGCAGTATAAATGGAGCGACAAGACTGACTATCAAAGGAGAAGGTATGGTGGCCCTTGCTTGCCCACGGGCAAACCCGGCGTTTTCCTCTTTTAATTTTGTGGTACCGGGGTTCCACTTTATTATTCCACATAACTCAGTGCTGCAGACATTCTAGGTGGATACTCTTCCCCTCTTAGAGTTTTATGGTTAAAGTAACCCCCAACACAAAAAACACACACCACTGATATAGTTTCTGCACGTGGCCAATGTGGTTGAAATCTTCCTCCTTGAGAGCAAAAATAAATAAATGAATAAACAAATAAAATAATCAAAAAACGCAACAAGCCCATGCTATTGTCCTCTTGATCACCCGGACTCTAATTGCAATGACTTCTTTGGCATTGAAAGATCTGGATTTAATGGTTACGGTAAAGAGAAAGGAATTACTTTAACTGAGCTCCAGTTCTTTCCCTTTTTCCTCACAGGTCTGGTGATTTTACTCATTCAGTGTTTGAATGTAATATGCTGGGGGTGGAGAGGCCGGATGTTGATGGAGAAATAGAATGTTAATGAAAGATGTAAGATAACAGAGAGCAAAACGTGGGCCCCCTCCTGCTGCCACCCAAGCCCTATCACATGCTGCATCAAGGCATGAGTTATGTATGATGCTTTCTCCTGCCTGGTCTCAGAGTGAAAGCATAGACGGTAGATAGAGTCAAAGTGCACTTCCTCCTAGGATGAAATAAATATATGGTTCTGTCAGCCATCAGGCCTTTGCAATAAAAACGGCAATAGTACTCAGACACTTAGGAATTTTTGAAGAATATGAAAGAATTACTTGAAAAACAAAGAAACATTGACAAAATCTTCTATTTGGTCTTTAAAACAACAAGCAAGCCTTTGGAGTCAGAATTTGGCATAAGGAAATAGTTATTATTATATATATTAAAATTTATTTTATTACTTTTAATGCTTCAAATCAACATACCCCAACTTTTCCTTCTGTCTCTAAACTTGAACTCCTGGTACAGACACCACATCTAGTTAAGCTACACAGAGTCAGAACAGGTCTGCTCAGGAGTTTTCAAAGCCACCATTCCTCAGCTGTAATCTTTGCCCTTCTGTGACCCTTGAGACAATCATGCTTAGACTTCTCAGCAATGAAGTGTAAGGTGTTAAGGCAAATTTTTCCTTTTCCTTCTAATTCCTACTATCTACATACTTTTGGCAGAGTTTATACCTTTTGAATTGGCGACACCTGCATCCTCACCTTTACATCTTTTCCCTCTCTCCTCTTTAATAACTCTCTGTGGCTAACTAAAACAGTATTGGTACACGTCTTTCTTTCCCAACTGAGTTTAAATATTGTTTTTGCTACTTTATAGAAGCAGAGTTTAGCATGGTAGGTGTCAGGGATTGGGAGCAGGTGGAATGATGGCTATTGGCTAAGTTGCACAAAGTTTTAGTTATAAGAAAAGAGTATGGCCTGGAGGTCTGTTGTACATCATAGTGTCTTATTGGTGATGGTATGACATGCATGCTTAAAGTTTGCTAAGGGAGAAGATTGCATGCTAAGTGCTATTATTACAATTTTTAAAAATAAGTGAAAGGGCCTAGGAAGAGACATTTCAAAATGATGACTATGTTTGAAGAATTGCTAGTAGTGATGTTTTATGGGTATATTTTAAATATCTAAACTGATTAAATTATATACAGTACATTAAGTCTGTATAGATTTTTGTATGATAATCATACTTCAGTAATATAGTTTTAAACAAAAAAGTAAATTTAAAATTGGTTTTTGGATGTCTGTGATGTATATATAAATTTTTATACAGCAATGATAATGAACTTATACACCAAAGCTTATGAATGAATATTTTATTTATTTATTTTTAATTTTTTTAATTTTTTTTCGAGACAGGGTTTCTCTGTGTAGCCTTGGCTGTTCTGGAACTCACTCTATAGATCAAGCTGGCCTGGAACTCACAGAGATCCACCTGCCTCTGCCTCCCGAGTACTGGGATTAAAGGTGTGCACCACCATCACCTGGCTTTATTTTTATAAAATGTATTATGCAAAAGCAAGATATGGGAGAAAGTACAGATTTGCAAGTTGAGTTCTCTGTGATCCCGCCCACTAGAACTCTGACTACTGACACTTCACAGTATCTAAATGACTCTTGGCTCTTAAAAGACAAAGGTTTTCTAAAGGTTATTTTGCTCAAAAGGCTATGCTTGAGTTTGATGTTTGTGTAGCTCAGTGGTAGTTTGCTTGACTAATATACATAAGACCCTGGGTTCCACTCCAAGCACTGAAGCAGAAAAAAGGGAGTGTGTTGGGGAGAGC